AAAGGCATAATGAAATTACCTTCAAAATAGCAACAAGTTATCGAACAAAACGGCGCATATTTGACCTAAATCGGATCATTCTAACTATGGTAATTAAAGCCTTCAATTTCATGCAAAAATAATGGATTTCTTTTTACTACACCTGATACTTGTAATATTCTGAATCGAACGGAAAAAACATAACATTTATAATATTCAAAATCTAACGAAAAAGATATGTAATATTGATAACATAATAAGAAATAAATACATAATAATATTATTGTTTTATGTATGTCCTGTCATTGTCACCATTGTTTTTTTTTTCGATTTATTCCTTTTATTTCGCTGATTGGCAAAGCGTAGCTATTCAGCTATTATGGCATCAAAATCGGTTTCGGTAAATACAGTATAACGCGATGTCACTTCTCCTGAAAAGAAAAAAAAATAATAGATGCAATTAAGAAAATCGTAGTAATGAGACATTATAGTTTCAACAATGTATATATGACATACTTTTCATAACTTTTATGAAATATAAATTTGAGATTTTGAAATTATTCCTGAATCTTTTCCACGAACATTTTAGTGCACATTCATTTGTTAATGTTTTTTGTAATAGTCTATGCAGATTATCTTTAGCATTGTTTCCGCCTGTTTTTGACATAAACTCTTTTTGTGAAAAAAAAACAAATACATTTAATATGAATAAAAAAATCGAGCACTGCAATATAGAGTAATATTCCAAGAGAAGTGTATACTTTGAAATTTTTTAATAGTACAGCTTTGTTTAATTAAACAGTTAAAGTGACGTTTTTATCGAAATAATTATGCATATTGTTAAATAATTATATTGTTAAAAAGTATCGGTTATTAAATCTTGAATGATTTCTGTAATTTAATCAATATGCCGCGCGACTTATGTATATTGTACATCATTATATTTATAAATTGTGTCACTGCTTCATCCGATGTTTTTAATAATGCATCGAACTGTTTTATAGCTTCTATTATTGATATTGGTAAAAATGGCGCGATGAGATTATCATTAATTTTTGAAGGACTTAGCGCCCGGTGCTTTATGGCATTTTCTATGTTTGGTAGTCGTAATATATTGCACAAATACTTTTTCCAAATTGTGATATGATTGAAATATATATTATATGTCAGAATTAAATATTTTGTAATCTATTATGATTACATGATTACGGGTAATGTAATTTAAGATTGACACATTACAATTACATATATGTAATAGTAATCATTATATGGACAATTACAACATATGTAATTGTAATCTGTCAATCTTAGATTACATTACCTGCAATTTTATAATTATAATAGATTATAAAATGCCCAACTTCATTATACACTCAAACGCAAAAAACCCGGTACACTAAAAATTTGGGAAAAAATTACAAAATTTCAAATGATCGTAACTTGGTAAATAATGAAGATACAAATATGCGCAGAAATGCAAAATGAAGCAAAATGCAATGTATGTGCCAAGACAATAAACAAAGACAAACAATTTTCCTTTTCCGAACGTGTTCACTCTGATAAGCGCTGCCTCGTGCGACTTTTCTTTTTCCGTGATCTTTTCCTTTCGAGGCGCGTTGCTTCGTGCAACTTCATCAATTTAAACCATAATTGATTGTTTCGCATCGAAATTATTGCGTCGATTATGGCGACGATAAATCCTGAAAAGAATTTATTATAATAAATAATATGTAGTTCTTCCACATATAAAAATACGAAAATCGAATATCGAATATATGAAAAAGTGAAATTATTCCAGATATTTAATATTTAATATTATTATATTAATTATGCCAGAGTATGAAATATCTTTTAAACTATTATATTTTTTAATTTTATCTTTGAATGAATATCAATGATTTTATTACAAAGATATTTCGTGTAGATTAAAAAAGAAACATCATGTCCTATTTCTTCTTTGTAGTAGCGTCCAGATGAGTACTGCGTCCTGGAACAGCTTTATGTCGACGTTTCAGAAACGTTGCAGTTTGCATCTTAAGAGCTGAGAGCTTTGATATTAATTATTCTCTCCTCTTCTTTCTTCAACACAAGGAAAGGGATACCTAAGCACACTCACGAAAGAGGAAAATTCAATATCAGGAATCTCAGCCTTGAAGATGCAAACTGCAATGTTAGCGAAACGTCGACATAAAACTGTTTCAGGACGCGGTACTCAACCGGAAACTATTACAATGAAGAAATTCACCGACCATGAAACCCTCAAATCTGAAACAATCAGTGCACATACTGACGTCAGATTGGCGACAGATCCATAGACATCTATGTCCACAATCTGCTGTTAGACTGCCGGCAGAGTATGCTAACACAATCTATGACAGCTCTGACAGCAGCTTGATGGCAGAATGCAAATCTTGCTAACGTCTATTAGCAGGCTCTGCACGCAATATACCACGAATCTGCCATAAAAACCTAATTAATACATACTGTGTGCAATCTATTGCCTTTGTGTTACAAATGCTGCTAAGAGATTGCTCGCACAGGTTTGGTTATTTGCTTGTTATGTTATTTCTAATTTTCAATTTTTCAAAGAATCGTAATCATTACTTGAACATACGTTATCGAGGAGTTTATCAGCAAGTAATTCATTAAATTAGATAATTTCTATGGCGATAATTGTGTGAAGACGGAGGACAACAACCAAGTACTACTGGTACAGTCCGAATATTGTGTCAATTCCGTTGTAAACCTAAATATAAAATGTGATTGATTAAAATCCTAATGTTCATTGAAGTACAAGATGTAGCACATTTATTACTAACATTAATTTTCCAGCAAAACATAAGGTTAGGATAGAGTAAATTATATTAAAATATTCTTAGTTATACAAATCGTACAGAAAATATTAAACATTGAATGGCAAAAGGATTTAAGTATAAAGACAGATACAATTGTAAATTTGAAGGATTTCGAGGATTACCTTTTGTTCCGAATTGGAAAATCATATCGGCGGTTCTGCGTGCTCATTAAAATCGTCCAGCGGATTCTCGCGGAGCGTGTGCTGGACGCCGGTAACAGCGAGTCACCGCTCGGGCAAATCACCCATGTTTACAAACGAATTATTTACTCGATCTTTGTCTTGCCGCCTGGTATTGTCTCGGCGCGTTACACTGACTCATTGTGTCGGTGACAATAACGCTCTTTCCATCAGAAAAAACGTGCGGCAGTCTAATGTCTCGTGACTAACGGCAAAACAATGTATTTACCGTCTAGATCTTTGTGTCAGTCAACCAACGATGTGTACAAATCTGCCAATCGGCTTGAGCCGCATCAGCGATATAAAATTATAAATATCACGATCAATATCATGACGATAGATTTTCGGCAGAATCCGGCTGTCGAACTCAATTCTCAAGTTCCGTTCGGCTACCGTCGAATCTTAACAACGCGTCGCTCCGGCGCGTGATTATTTTCTCCATCTCGTTATTGAGACACAACGTCATTGTTCGCGATCTACAAGCCGCTGTACTGGGTCAACGCTAATAAACGCTTCGGAATCGGAGACTCGAACACATTATTGTCCAGAGAACCGACCGGTCCTCTCCTTTTGGCTGATTTCCGTCGGCTCCAGTCGTACTCGCTCTAGCGCCCAAGATCTGGGCGATCCCGGCGTTCAACGGGTTAACTCTAAGATTCAACCCGCAACACCTTTGATAAATATCGGATCCTTGAACCGCACGGTTTCTTTTCGGTAGGAAGTCACGAGGTCTGGGAGTCGATTGCATGTATTGAAACAAGTGAATGACAAAAGTGAGTGAATTTACTAGAATTCACCACGTTTCAAGATACGCAATCGATCTGTTTTTGTTTACCTCCCAGATAGCACAATGTCTACAAAGATGTTTAAAGACATCTAAAAGAAGTAGGACGTCTTTTAGACATCTTTTAGAAGTCTAAAAGACATGTTTGCGCACATTTTGCTATCTGGGCTGTTCTTTGTTGTTATGTTGCACGGATTATTTTATTGGCTACGAAGTATCTCAAGGGTTGCGTTCTGTAATTCACTGACAGCACTGAAATTCTATATACGTTACATGAACTACAGATTTTCAGTATTGGCCGTGAATTAGGGAATGCAGCCAAGATGAACTTCAGAATGTCTTAAATATAATTGAAGATTCACACGAGATCGGATGATACGATATATCCCATAGGAGAACAATTTCTTATAGAATACCGGCCTTAGGGCCGGTTGTTCCAAGTTTAAAGTAATTAGTTAATTTGTCTATTTTTATTCCTTCCTTAAATTAGACAGACAAATTATGATTAAACTATTATTTAACTTACCAAGAAGTTGAAACAATCGGCTCTTAAAGATATCTTCTAAAAGATATCATTTAGATATCTATTACAAATATATTGAAGATTTCTTTTAAGATATCTTTCAGATGTCTATAGATATCTTTTATAAATTCTACAAAGATATCTCCCACTACATCTATTTAGATATCTTATAGACAATTTGTAGATATCTTTTAGAAATATCTTAAAGAAATCTTTCATAAGATATCTTTTAGACATCTACAAGACCTCGTTGTTTTCTGGGTTGTCATATATCATATGTAGGGGTCTTCGGAAAGCGATCTTCAAGCGTAGCAATAGAAATGAAAGACTCTGATTGGTTCATTTCCTTATGCGTTATGTATTATGCCTTTATGCAAAAGTGTGTGCTTCCCGTATTACTTGCCCGATTTAGCCGATTTTTTAAGGCTACGCCTACTTCTCTTTTCTTTTCTTTCCGAAGATCCCTACAAATGATACATGACAGCTTATACCTGGGCGGCGTGACCGTCCTCCCTTGTAGGGACCTTTGGACGAGCGGAGAAACAAGAGAAATAGGCGTAGCTCCCAACAATCGGTTGAAACGGGCAAATAATTTCGACTTCTGGGCATAGACAATTGGTACTCTGTGTCGACTTTACGGTGTCTCTCGGACATTTTACATGTTTAGGTCATCACGGGAGGATCGGATGTTACGGAGGATCGACGAATCTATTACCGAAGAACGCAAGACACACAGGTAAGTATTTTTATCCAGATTTCTCTGATTTTCCCGTCTCATCCCAACAATTATTAAGAGTTACAATGTATCGATGCTACAATTTGCTATGCCACTATGAATACGATACGTGTATTGTATTTACTGTGGGAAATTATGACAATAATACAATGTAACTTTTAATTCATGTATTTACTTAAACATATATTATACATAACTAGTCTTATACATAACTAGTTAGAAAGATGCAACTGTAATATAATTTCAAATTACAGATATCGCAGCAAATTGCCACTTCACCGTTCACAAACCTTTTTATCAGTTACTCCAACATCGTCTCGAAGTCACCGTGTGTCGTCACTTCCTGAGGCTATGAAAAGAAACATCGTCGCCTTCGTGTTCCGCCATTTACGGTAAACACCATTGTGAATCTGATTGGCTGTCTCGTTTTGTCTTGTGTGATAAATAAAAACAATTACGTTCGTATATTGTGCTGTTTTTTGATAATTACTTTCATGTAATGTGCATGATTGAATGGGAAGGGGGGAGGGAGGATGTAAAAATGAATATGGCAGAATCTGTTGTATTTCTATCACCAGTCTGCTGTCAGGCTGTGAACAGCAAGATCTGTTACGTTTCTGCCATCATTCTGGTGCCAGACTGCGCACAGCAGATTCTACTGTATTTCTGCCGTCAATCTGCCGCCAGACTGTGTACGTCAGGATCTGATACGTTTTTGCCGCCAATCTGCCGTCATAGTATTAAACCGCGTTTGTTTGAATTCTGCCGCCAATCTGCCGTCAGACTGCGCACAGCAGGATCTGTTTCCTTTCTGTCGTCAATCTGCCGTCAGGCTGTTTAATGGAATCTGTTCAAATGTTGACATCAATCTGATATCAAACTTCTATATCAGATTTTGTCTCAATGCTGCTGGCATTCTGCCGATATCATCTGATATTGCAGAATCTGTATTAATTTTGACATCAGTTTGTCATCAACTCCTGCAGCAGGCGTCTGGCAAAATCTGTTTCGGACAGATTTGGTTATTAGGGTATATATATATATATATATATAATAAAGTAACTTATATACTAAAGAGCTGTACCTCCTTCCCAATTACTAAATAGTAGGACCGAAGGCCCCACAATATGTATATATATATTAATTATCATTTCGTCTTTACTTTTCATAAAAAATAATTTTAAACACTGTTTATTTATAATTGTATGTAAAATTTGTTTATAATTTTTATATAAAATTGTATATAACATTTATAATTGTATTATTTGCTTTATTACTTCCCCCTGGGGTTACAATTCTTTCCCACCCCCTATCTTTACACTCTCTTTTCTTACAACTGTATCCTTACACACTATTCGCACGAGAGAGAGAGAGAGAGAGAGAGAGAGAGAGAGAGAGCGTTCCGCACACATACTCTCATTCCTCCACTCTTCCATTCTCTCCTTCTCTCTCACTCTCCATTCCTCTCCTCTCACACCTTGACCTCCGTTTCCGCTGCTCTTTCTACCTCCTCCTTCCTCTCCCTCCACCCCCTCCCCTCTCCACCAATTCTCTACCTCCCTCATCCACCTCTCCTCCTTTCCCTCCTCTCCTAGCATCATCCCCTCCACTTCCTGCCATCCCCTTTCTCCCCTCCACCTCGTATACTCCTCCCATATGTGCTTCCACGTCTCCTCTCTTCCCCCACACATCCTGCATCACCTTTTTTCTTCTTCCTCCCAATATCTATCTCCCTTCAATTCGCACCCCAGCCTAAACCTCGCTATCCTCCTCCATCTATTTTCCCCCCAGCCCTTCTTTAGATGCCCTTCTGGTATTCCCTTTCCTTTCATCCTTCCATATCCCTCATTGAACCTTGACTCCCTTATCTTTTCCCATCTTTCCTTCTCTCGTCTTCTCTTTTCTCTACTCTTTAATTCCTCTCCCCTTATTTCCCCTCCTTTTTTCCTTATCTCTTCTATCCTATCTATTTTCCATCCTCTGTCCTCAAAAAACCTTTTCCTCTCCTCCTCCCATCTCCCTACTTCTTTTCCTCTCCTCGCCCTACCCCTCATCTCCATCCAACACCTTCTTGCTATCCCTCCTTCCCTCACCCAACCTCCTCTTATTCTCGCTCTGCTCCTCATTAATTTTCTCTGCATTTCTTCTCTCACCATGTATACTGGCGTCCATCTTTCTATCCTCAATACCCATTTCAGGTACTTCTCCTGCAATTCCTCTATTTTTCTCCTCTCTCTCCATCCCCAAATCTCCACCCCATAACTTACTACCGGCCATACCAATTTGTCAAACAGCCATATCCTCTTTCCCCAGTCCTTTCCAAATCTCTTTTCCCTAATCCCCATACCTTTTTTTTTTGGTCACGCAGGGGAAATCGTCATGGATACCCCCGCCCCTTGGGGAGGGCGGAGGTTATGTCGAACTTCTACCGACTAAAACTCCTGCGGGGTGCCTACCGCTCGGACCGTGGTGAGGAGAATCAGGGGAACTACGCCTGCATTCCCTCCCCAATAATCCCCATACCTGCCCCATTACCCTCGCTCCCTTCCTTACCCTATTCCTCACCTGTGCATCCTGCCCTCCACTCCTCATCACCACATACCCTAAATATTTATATTCCTTCACCTCTTCCACTCTCTTCCCTTTCCATCTCCAATCCACCCTCTTCCATCTCCCTCCACTCTTGCTACATGTCATTACCTTCGTCTTTTCTATGTTTATGTCCAACCCCTTCCCATCACAATATCTTTCTAACCTTGCCATCATTCCCTTCATTCCCTCCTTATCCTTCGCCTCCTTATATCGCTAAATCATCTGCGTACGCCAGTGAATACACCTTCCCCTCCCCTAGCCTTACCCCTCCCCATTCCCCTCTCTTCAGCTCCTCATCTATGTCCGCTATTAATATTGTAAATAACAGCGGACTCAACGGGCATCCTTGTCTCACCCCCTTCTTGTCCAGTATCTTTTTCCTTCTCTCCCCCCTACTCTCACTCTGCTCCTTGTCTCCCCTAATACCTCCTCGCATCTCCTGACCAGTCCTTCCCTTACTCCCCTTTCCCTCATTACTTTTCCCAACACCTCCTTATCCACTGAATCAAAAGCTGCCTTGAGATCCACGAACATCACTACCAGCCTCCTACCTCTCCTCTCCACCTGTCTGTTTATCAGATAGTTCAGCGCATATATATTATCCACCGTCCCCCTTCCCCTCATAAACCCCGCCTGACTCTCCGGCAGTATCTTCTTCCTCTCCACCTCCTCCCTCAGCCTCTTCGTTACTATCGCTGTGTATACTTTATATGCTGTCTGCGCCAGCGTCACCCCTTTATACTCCTCCACTTTCTCCCCTTCCCCCTTCTTCCTGATCGGTACTACTACTCTCTCACTCCATTCCTCTGGCCAACCCTCCCCCACCTACACTCTTTCATATATTTCCCCTAACCATCTCTGCACCTCCTGCCCCTCGTACTTCCATACCTCGCTTGGAATTCCATCTCCTCCTGCTGCTCTTCCATCTTTCAATCCTTTTACCACTTTCCTTATCTCCTCTTGCTCTATCCTTTCCTCCCCATCCTCTTCCCCTCCTCTGTTTATCTCCCTCCTTACCCTTCCCTCCACTCCCCCTAATATTCTCCTAAAATAGTTCTCCCACTCCTTCATTTCAATCTCCTCGTTCACCTCCCTCCTCTACCACCTCTCCCTATTTAACATTTCCCATATCTGTTATTTTGTCCTCACCTCCTCTAACTCCTTTACCCATATCTCTCCTTGTTCCCTCTTCTCCTCCTCGCACACCCTCTTGTATCTTAACCTCTCCTTCCTATATTTTTCTCCATCTCCTCCCTTTTTCCTTCATTCCCTCAACTCCCCCCTCAGTCTCTTCTTCGCCTCTCTACACTCTTCATCCCACCAGCCCCTCCCCTCCTTTTTCTCCTTTCGCTCCATCCCTCACAGTGTTTCTCTTATCCCTTCCTCTAGTCTCCTCCACTCCCCTTGTACTTCCTCCTCCCTTCTCCCCATTCTCCTGAACTCCTCCCCAAACCCTTCTAATTCCTTCTTTGACCACCTACTTTTTCCTCCCCCTCCCCTTCTTATCTTCCTTTCTCTTCCCTCCTCCTTTCTTCCCCTCCCCCCTCTTATCCACACTACTACCGGTTGATGATCTGACTCCACCCTCTCTCCCACATCCATCCTCTCCACCCTTTCCATCGTCTCTCCATTTCCCATCACGTAGTCTATCACTGATGTCCCCTCTCTCCCTGTGTACGTCCATTCCCCCTTCTCATCTCCCTTCGTTTTCCCATTTAATACCCACCACCTTCTGCCCCCAGAAATTTATATAAGTTTCTTCCATTCCTGCATACCTTCCCATCCTTGGATTTCCTGCTCCCCTCCTCTCCTCTCTCCTCCTCCCCCCTCCTATTGCTTCTCCTCCCTCTCTTCTTGTTCTCGCGTTCCAATCCCCTCCAACTATCTCTCTTTCCTCCATCCACTTCTTCATCCGCTCTAACTTTTCCTCCATATCCCCATTCACGTATATCCCTATTACTCTCCACCACTCCCTCTCCATCCTCACCTTTTTCACCATTATCCCCTCCACCTCTTCCTTCTCCTCCCTCCTCACCACCAACCCTTCTCTTATTCCCATCACCATCCTACCTATAGCCTTTCCCTTCCTGTACCTTCTCTTCGCTCCTTGACATTCCCATCTGAACCCTTTCGGTAGCTCATTTTTCACTCTCCCCCAACCCAACATGTCTCCGACAGCACCATTATATCCCATCTTTTTAGATCTTCCCAGAATTCCCTATCTTTATTTCCCAGCCCCGTCACATTCTAGAATGCCACCTTGTACACCTCTTCCCCCTTCCCTCCTCCCCTCTCTCTCCCTTTTCCTCCTCCCCTCTCCCCCCGTTTCCTTCCCTTCCTCTACCTCACTCCATTTTAGTTTCCCTTCATCTCCCACCACTTTTCCCTCACTTCATCCCATCTCCGCATCTTCCCGTCCACCCACATCTCTGCCTCCATCACTTTCCTTTTTTCCTCCAGACTGCCTAACTTCACCAATACCATCCCCTCCCCTTCTTTCTGCCCTTCCCCTATCCTCTTCACTTCCCTCATTTCTACCTCCAACTCCATTCTCCTTCATATCTCCTTAACGTCCTCCTCCACCCCTCTCCTCCCTATCTCTACCCCCCTCACCACCACGTTATTTCTCCTTTCCTCCTTCTCCTTCTTATCTATTCTTATCTCCAGCTCTCTTATTCTTCCCCCCTTACCCATTCCTTCCTCCTTCATCCTCTCCCCCTCCCACTTTTCCCATCTCCCAACCTTTCCTCCATCTTCTTTAGTTTTCCTCCCCCTCCCTCCTCTCTCTCTTTCATTCCTCCCATTCCTTCCTACTCTCTTCTCTCTCCCTTCTCAATTCCTCTCTTAGTTCCCTGTTCTCTCTATCTCTTTTCTCTCCCTTCCTCTTCACTTCCTCTTTATATTCTCTCACTCCTTCCATTAATTTCCATACCATTTCCTTCATTTCCTCCTCTCTTATCCAACCTCCTTTCCCTCCTTCTCCTCCCTCCCCCTCTGATTTCACCCTTCCTCCCTCTCCCTCCCCCTTCTGTTGCCTTCCTATCTTCACATTCCTTTTGCCTATTCTTTCCTCTTCATCCTCCTCTTCCTCCCCTCCCCTCATCTTCCTTTTCCCCTCCCACATCATCTCTATATAACCCCACACTTCCTCGTGCTGCTCGTGCTATATCTCCTCAACCTTTCTGCATTCATCAGCCTCTCTCTCCTTTTCTCCCCTCTATTCTCCCCCTCTTCCCCTCTTTTTCACCCCCTCCCCTCCTCTTCCTCCTTCCTTCACCCTCTTACTCTCCCCTTCTTCCTCCACCTTCTCCTTACCTCCCTTCCAATTTCTCGCGTCTCTCTCCTAGTTCCCGACTCTGCCACCTGCCTCACCACCTCTCTCAATCACCCGTCTCTCTCCCCTGTCAACCCTCTCCTCGCTTCCTAACCTCAAC